TATTAAACACTTTTAGAAATATTATATGAAACATAAAGAATGATTCGAAAAAAAAAGGTAAGTTTTTGGCTTTTGGATATTTCGAATTACTTATTGATATTCCTTCTAGTAAATGATAGGCTGACTTAAGTACTAATGTTTAAGTTTATAATAAATGCAAGGATTTCTTATGGTCTAAACTACAAATTCAAATGAGAATTTCTTATTTATGAGAATTGAGAAAAAGTTTTGTTGAAACCATTGAGACATTTTATTTAGTCTTAGATAATGTATTTTATTTAAATTGTTTTAAATTCTTTATATTTCTTCAATTTCCCATAATTTGATTTTATTTCAAAAACTTTATGTTAATGGTTTTTACTTTAAATTTGATAATGATGTTTATTCAAGAAATTCTAATTTGTGAGTTATGGTATTCTTTTGATGATTTCTTTAAATTCAAACTTGATATTTTATTTATTAAAACCTTTTTGACCTTATATCATAATATTAGAACTAAGCGTACCTTAATTAATGAAAATTTATTTATCTTGTGGCATAAAAGACTAGACAATATTCAGTGAAAGGTTGGGAAAATTCGTAAATAATGTGATTCTTCTGAATCTAGACTTTACTAATTTTGTTGTGTGTATGGATTGTACTAAGGGTAAACAAACCCAACACATAAAGAAATTAGCCACAAAAAGTATAAGGCTTCTTGAAATTATTCATACAGACATTTGTAGATCTTCTAATGTTCCATCTTTTGGTGGAGAAAAGTATTTTATTGTCTTTATAGTTAATTTTTCACATTATGGATATATCTATTTGTTGCATGAAAAATCTCAAGCAGTGCGTACGTACGCTTAAAGTATACATAAATGAGGTTGAAAAATAACTAGATAGAAAAGTGAAAATCATAAGGTCATATAGAGGTGGTGAATATTATGGAAAGTATGATAAAACGGGTTAATACTCTAATCGTTTGCTAAATTTCTTGAAATGTATAGGATTTGTGCTCAATACACTATGGTAGGCATGCCACAGTAGAAACGTGTAACTAAAAGGCGTAAGCGTACTCTTATAGACATGGTTAGGAGTATGTTAAGTAATTTTTTGTTACCCATAATTTAAAAGGTACAAGTTTTACTATCTTAAATGTAGTACGAGAATTATTGAAACCAGAGATGTCAAATTCATTAAGAATGGTGAAGTCAGTGGGAGTGATAAAAATAACAATGTGATATCATTCAAGAAGTTCGGGTACAAATTTATTTACCCATAACTTCTAAAGAAATAATTGTTTCTTCAGTTGTTGAACTGTATAACAACGAAGAACAATTAAATGATCAACAACTCCATGATGAGATTGTCACCAATGAATAGATTGTAGAAGAACCACAGAAGAATAACATTAAGAAAATCTCAAAGAGAAATGAGATCTACTATTCCGGATGACTATGTGATATATTTGCAAGAATCTAATTTTGATAGTGAGATATATAAGGATCCAATTATATATTCATAAGTCATTGACAATAATGATTTTACTAAATGGATTAGTGTCATGGATGAAAAGATTACAAAGAAAACTTCTCTATAGTATTTAAGAAGGATTCTCTTAAAATATCATGGCATTAGTAGCTTATTATGATTTAGAGTTATATTAAATAGATGTGAATACAATTTTTATGAATGAGAGTTTAGAAGAGGAAGTCAATATGGAACAACCTGAAGGCTTCACATTAGAGGGTAAAGAATATATGGTCTATAAACTTAAGATATCAATATATAAACTTAAATAAACTTCCTGACAATAGTATTTTAAGTTCAATGATATCGTTATTTCTTTTAGTTTTAAGAAAAACACTGTTGATCAGTGTATATACTAGAAGGTTAGTGAAAGTAAGTTTATATTTCTAATTCTATATATTGATGATATTTTATTTGCTAGTAATGATCTTAGTTTATTATATGAAACTAAAAGTTATCTCTAAAAATTTTGAAATGAAAGATATGGATGAGGCATCCTACGTGATAGGAATAGAAATATTTTATGATAAATCACGTAGGTTTTTAGGATTTTCTCAGAAAACATATATTGAAAGAGTTTTAAAAGGATTTGGTATGGAACATTATTTAACCAGTATTGTTCCACACATAAAAGGGGATAAATTCAGCCTAATGTAATCCTAAAGAATTAGTTAGCTAGAAGGTAAAGAAACGAAAAATATTCCTTATGCATATATTGTGGAGTTTGATGTATATACAAGTTGGTATGGGATAAAAGATTATATGCTCACATTTAAAAAGATATTTTTTAATTAGTTATTTGTTTATTTTAGCTGGAGGAATAATATTATGAAAAAGTGTAAAGTAATTTATTATTATTTTGTTTATTATGAATTTTTTAATTCGTAACATGCTTTAAGATTAAAATTTATGGTTGCAGAATTTATTTCAGGATATGAAGTCATGGGTATCATTTTTTCATATTGTTGAAAATTTATGCTGCAATTGTTGATCGCCGTGTATAAAAAATGATAGGTATTCTAAAGTTGAAATAATTTATCATTAAAGAAGATATTTAGAAACAATGAATGTCTATTGAACAAATAAGCACACAACTTATAATTGCAATCCATTAACGAATGGATTACCACCCAAGACATTTATGGAACATGTTGAAAGAATGGGTCTTGAATGTAGTCAATGATGGTTATTATTTTTAATTGTGGATTGCTTAATAGTACTCATATATATTTGACATTTTGCGCTCATTAAATATGTTTCTGATATTTCCTATTAATTAATATACATGTACGTATTACTTTAATAAATGGTAATAGAAATAGGCTTGGAAAAGACATTATTGTTAGATCATTATTGATACTTCTCATTTATAGATTATGTTGAATAGGTTACTAGTGTTGTGGTAAATGGAATGGATTGTGTCATTTAGTGACATATAACCGCCATGACTCACATTAATAGTTTATTTACCATGGTATTTATGATGACCAACTTAATGAGTCAATCTGATTTATGGTGCACACTAATGAATATTTTACTAAAGCACTACAGAAGTTATCATATAGGCCAAGTGGGAGACTGTAAGATATTTTCTTATATTTGTGGCCCACATAATTTGGACACATGATTTACTTCTATTATTTGGTGGTTAAATAAAATAGATATCAGATTAATATTATATTATTTGGTTAATTTATAAATTACATTTTTGGTAATTAATTATTGGAGAAGTGTTTTCCTATTTATTTCTTACTTTGATGGAAAGTGGAATTAAAGTTACTGAAAGAAAACTGATCCTCTCTCTGCCTTTATAAAAGTGCATATTCACATCAGTTATGTACGCTAATGAAAACAATACGTATAATATTTATGTGTGCAAAAAGTCAAGAGAGAGAAATCGGTTTTCACGTTTTGACTATTGCAGTTTAGCATATTGTTCGTTCCGCAGAAAGGATCTCGACGTTTGCCTTGATCTCTTCGAGTTTTACAATTACAGATCGAGGTATTTATATCTAACTATGTATTTATGCATTATAGATATGTGAAAATCATGAAGTTCTAATATATGGGATTCATGTAAATTTGGGATTAATGTTTGACATGAATAATTATAATTTACAAGTTATACCCATTAAGGGAAATAGAAATAGATGTCAGGTTTTCAATCTATCTAACCTAAAGGGTTTCAATCTATGCTCTTATTATTATTATTATAATTTTTGGATTTTATTTCATTTTAGAGTATTTCCATTTAAGTGAATGTTAGATTTTGGGGATAAAAGATAGTATTTTTTTTTTTTTTTTTTTGGGACACATTTTAGGTTTCTTTTCCTTACCCACAAAAGAATCAAGAACCCTCAATGGAGGAATTCGGATATTGCTTGAATGAACAAGTTTCAGATAACTACATATATATTTTGGAAGAGCACAGATGATTTTTATTTATTATGATTTTTTATAAGTTTACTACATTAAAAAGTACTTGTGATGCTTAGAGCTTAATAGACAATAGATTGTAATGTTCTGAAATTTTTTGGTCATATAATTGCTATTATGGGTTTATGAACGTGTATTTGAATGCCAATCTGCTTATTCAGCTGAGTGGATTAATTGCCATTTAATTTAATTTCATTTATTTTTGAATTCAACGAAGAGTTGATAAATGTATAGAGTGTATGCAATGTGTTCGAGCATTGCTTTGTTACTAATGGGCTAGCAGGAATTTTGCTTTTAGGAGTTCCAATGGCTGGTTCTGTTTTTGGGAGCTGTAACATGCTCTATTTTTCCATTTGTATCATTTTTTTCCCTTTTATTTATTTTTCTATTTTTCCATTTGTTTCATTCTTGAACACAGCCAACAAAATGTCACTCGTTACATAAGGTTGTGAAAAGATCACTCGATGTATTATATGATAATATCATATTGCTTACTAACATTTTTGTTGTGTATAATCACTTCTTGTTTCAGCTGTCATATGAACGCACAAACAAAGGAAAATCTTCCAGTAGTGGTTACGAGAATGTTGAAATTGACAAAAGGTGTTCTAAAACTGCTGAACTCACGGAGGCAGTCACGAACAAGTTTATGCATAGGTGATATGTTACTGTCCGACTTCGTTTCCTTTGTTATATATATGATATCCTTGAAAATCTTCTGTAATTTTCTATCTTTATCTTATTATGGGGTGTCAATCTCACTCTACTGGTTCGTCTTCATTTATTCAATCTTTTGTCATTGAAGAAAACAAAACCACATCTGAGTGAAATGCTAAAGCATTTAATGGCGAATTCATTGAACATAGAGTTGTCCAGTTGTCTAAAACCAGAAAATATGTGAAAGTCTAAAATTTTAAGTTCCAAAACCTGTCTTCTGATGTCTACACCTCATGTTGGAAATCAATGTTTGCTTTTATGGATCTTTAGCATCTGTGTAATTTATGTCACTTGCTGGTTGGTGATATTTTGGGTGACAAATAAATGTGAATGGGTTTATACTATTGTGTAGGTCTGGCTGTTGGTTTTTGGTTGTATATTAAGTGCAGCTGGTAGGTTGATTTCTGTATCCTAATGGATTTGGACCGCTTGGTAGGTTGGAATTTTGATGGTAGTCTAGCATGATTCATCGATACTCCTTTAATGGATGAGTACGTAACGATTTTAAACCCCAAAATTGATGAATTTAGTGTTTTTCAACTAGAGCTGAACTAGCGGTGAAATACAAAATAAGAGGAAAAAAAAAAAGGAGGTGGTATTAAGAGAATATGGATTTCTTTATGATGGCATAACATGCAGCAACCCATTGATTTGAATACCTCTTCACTTGCGATTGAATTCTTGGATGATTCACCCCATGTGTACTTTCTGGTCTCGTTTCAAATTTCTTCACCTTCCTTTTTGGCATCTGATTCACCTCCCCATTGTTTTATTCTTTCTCCAGCTATCGAAGCCTGCATTTGCCAACGGTTTAAAAATTGTTAGTTTAGTCAATGGGTAAATTACCCGAACTTCCCTTGAGAGTTTGCCTAATGACAGTTGAAACTATTTGAAAAAGTATGGTGAACAATCCTTGAAGTTTGACATAACACCTCTAGCTTAGTTGACTGATAAGTCCGTCAACGAAATATTTATGAAATACCAAAACTACCCTTAACATAAAAATAATTACTTAAATGACCCTATTAATATACTTTGACAAAGTACCCTTGATATATACATTATAGATATGTTTGTGGTGGGGTTTACTTTCAGTTATATCTTGAGGGTAGGACAGTAATTTTGAGAGGGTGATATAAACCCATGATTACAAGTAGTACTGGAACTAGAGATAGAAAATGTGAGTACAATACCATTTGAACATGGAGAGTCGGTTAGTGAAAAGATTACAGAGGATTCACTTCCAAGACAAAAAACCAATTGGTGAAGATTGTAATATTTGTCTGTGTATATATATATATATATATATGTATATATGTGTGTGAATATATGTCCTATAAGCTGCACAAAGCAAGAAGAGAATGCTAGAGCCCAAAAATGACAAGGGCAATTTTGTCTTTTCAATTTTTTTGCCGCTTATGTCAGCATGACATACACAATGGTTGTACTAAAGACATGGGCAGTTTAGTAATTTAACCACTACCGTTAACCAATTAACGACTTTTCACTCGAGTGAGAGATATTTTTCAAATAGTTTCATTCGTAAGTAATTTGGACAAACCTCGAGGGAGGTCTTCATAAATCATTGGCTGACTAGCTTTTGTAAACTATTTATGAAGTCTGCTTTATGTACCTACCTCTTTCTTCCAGTTTGTTCTGTATATCAACCAGAACAAGAAGCAGGTCTGTAGGGCTGTTCCTGACAGCATCCCATACCATATGCCCTAAAAATGATCAACCATAAATAGTTTTTAGGAAGCATTTTGATTAATGTGTAGCATTAGACCAAATGGGCAACAGCCTGCTAAGTACAAACCCATATCCCCAAATGGGAGGGCGGGGGTTCGAGCCTTAGTGGAGACCTGGGTGTGTGAGTTTTTAGCATTTTGAAATTTAGAGTTTAGGATGGTAGAACTTGTACCCGGACACCCATGCCAAACTTGTATCCGGTTAGGAGGCCGAAAGGAATACCGAATATATAGTAGCACCCAATGTTCACATACGCAACAATTGCTTGCCATCCTGCCCCTATTGCCACTCCTGCAACAATACTTTCACTTATAAGTCTTTTGCCTATATTCCCGAAAATGCATATGAAGATATATAATCAAAGAATAGTTCAGCTATTTACCAGAAAGAGCAGGCTGAATATTGTTAATGACAATGCTGGCTCCTAACAATGGCGTGAGCTCGATTACAAGTTGTTTTACTTCTGCATTATTCGAAAATAAAGCTGGGTACTGCATCCGGTTGATGATCAGAATGAGCGCGAGCAAGAGACCAAACAAAACCGAAGTTACTGAGACCACCACTACAGAGAATTTCGCGGTTCTTGGATGTGCTGCCCCTAATTCATTTGACACTCTCACACTGCACATTGGATCAAATCACACATTTCTCTTGTTATTTTGTTTTGATGTGTTTTCTTTGTTATATATAGACGCTAAGATTCAAGGAGGTTCGGTTTTATTACACAACCTTGTGGCTGCATTGAATCCGAAAGCTACCATGATTGCCCATCCCAGTATGTTCATGCTGCAAATTTCATAAAACATTTGTGAAACTTGTACTAGTTACCTGACTCGTGTGGAAGGGATGCTTTGCACAATGTCTCGGGAATTTAGTCTGGGCAAAGCCCGGATACCCCAGTTACCTTCAAAAAAAAAAAAAAAAAAAAAAGAAAAAGAAAGAAGACTTGTTCTGCCATAATCAAGCTAGAGTGACCAAAAATAGGGAATTAGTATATTACTCCTGTACCAGTGTAATTTAAATTTGTATTTACACATCAATTAAACTGCTCCAAGTTGGACATATTGTATGTGTGTGTCTATAGACACACACATACACACACACACACAGACACACGAATATATCTGCTCACCATATGGACAAGGCATCCACAGAAACTTCTGCGTTCTTAAGATACCCGGCAAAGAGAATCAGCGCATAAAAATACCAAAATTCTAAGCTGCAAAATTTTGAAAGAGGTGTGGATTAAAATCTAAGTGATTGAATAATAAATATTTAGAGGGAACGCATCAGTTAATTAAAAATAGGATGTCAGCGTGTTAGGTGATTAGAATTCATTATCTAAGTGAGAATAAAAACAAATAATAAAAAATAAAAATAAAAATAAAAATAAAAAATAGATCTACAACAAACCCCGAGTATTTTGTGATTAGAATTCATTATCATGGGTCTGCATATCTTCAAAATTATTACACAATCACAGAACTGGTACACAGCCACGTGAAACAACTGGATGGGTTATGTAAAATAAAAAATGCCTTTTCCTTCCAATTTTTTTATATTGTTGTACTTTGCTGTCTTCTCTATTTTGACTTTTGAAAATGTTAGAAAATGTCCCCCTCATTTACTACTTTAAAATTTATGGGCGCTAGTTGTGATGACATAAGCCAAGGTGCATAAAGCAGTGCAAAAGCAAATTTAAAGAGCGAAAATGCAAAAACGATAAAATTGACCAAGAATGAGAACACTCGACGAGTGCGAAACAACACTTATTGAAAAGTATTGTGTGATTTAACGTATAAATTTTCCAACTCAAATTTAAAAATTAAATGTTCGAGTCTCGGTGGACTCATAATATACTAAAAAGAACCACATTAGAGAACAAATCAATAATGGAAGACCAACGAGCTAAGAAAGTACGGATGTTCTTAAGAATGCGTTGTTTTCATGTTGATCACCACAAACTATGGATATGCATTTAATACTTTATAGACATGTTCATAATTTTAAAATAATTTTTATTAATTTGATTAATCACATCCTACTCTCTCAGATGCTTAGTCTTATAGAGTACAAACACAACATTAATCTTGAAAACAATACAAATAAGATTTAAAATGTGCAACGCCCTTTTCTTTTAAAAGAAATTTTACACTATATACATGTCATAATATGCAATGACACTTATCATTATGACAAAACTATATATAATTATAATGACAAGGCGATAGAGTAATACGGAGTAACATATATAATATCATGATATTTGCATAACTTTCTCTTCTAAATTAAGTAATACATTTTTAACGGTCTTGTTTAACAAAATTTAAATAATAATTTATATCTATATTAACTGTATTATTTGGATGGTGTTCACGCTCGTCGTATCGTACGCAATCCTTTTTCAAGTCCGATACGCGACTTGTATTGGTCAATTTACACTGATTTTATCTGAATCCGTTACACTGTAACCATAATCAATACTATCAACCATTACGTAGCTAAAGCACGTAAACAGTACATCTAAGTTAAGATTTATATGTTGTAAAAATGTTAGTCCGAACATATATTTGTTTCTAAACTTGTTTGACAAGACACACCTAACCATACCCTACCATCATAGTCAAATGAGAAATGTAGTTTGGACTTAGGAGTCTCACCAGAGCATTACAGCAGATGCAAGGGACAACTTAACAAATCCCAGGAGGTTCTGAAAGGCCTCCCATGAAAACCCACTCCAAGCTCCACCACACGACCCACTGAATACATACAACAGCTGAGCCGCCACTATGAACCACCACGACGAGTTCAGCACCACCGCCGCACCCACCAGTCCCCACCCCAGCTTCAGCATCAGTAACCAGCTGAAGACGCAGTGCAGCACCAGCGCCACCGCGGCGATCACCGCCATCGCCATGAACTTGCTCTGCGCCTGTAAAAACTTGGCGAGCGGGAAGTTCACCGCGTATGCAAAGAGCTGTGGAATCATCCACACCGCGAATCTCCCGGACGCATCTGATATCTCGGCTGTCTGGCCGATGAGTATCAAAATCGGAGCTGCGAATATGTATAGAAACATCATTATTAGGGCCGTGGCAATGAGAATGATCCATGATCTTTGCATGTAGATCCCTAGCATATTCATCTGTCCAGCTCCGAAAGCCTGTCCACAAAGCGTCTCTAGTGCACTTCCCATCCCCAACTGTTCGAAGCAAGAATGTTATCGTGTTAATCATTGTCCGTTCTAAAAGTTTAAACCGTTAGAGAACGTGTAATTTAATTATTTATATCTTAAACAGCTGAAAAGTTAAATGTATAGGAGTTCGAGGTCTGGTATTTTACTTGGAAAAAGAAAGAAATATGTAATCATTACTATAACAACCACATGAAAGGGAGGGTGGGTTAGATAATATTGTACCATCATGCCCAAAGAGAATCCGGCAATGACGGAGTTTTCGACGGAGACGGCAGCGAGTTCGATGGTTCCGACATGGCCGGCGAGGACTTGAGTTATGGCGCCGAGAGAGTATTGGCAAATGGATGTGAAGATGGCGGGAGCAGCTAGGTACCAAAGCTTTTTTGACTCCACAGCAAATTCTCTGATGAAATCTTGAACTCCGGAGATGGGTTTGATGTCGTTTTCATCGACGGCGAAGGATGAAGAAGAAAGCTCTGATGCTCTGGGAGGGCTCTCTGGATGATCTGGGTAATGATGCTCATCGTCTCTGCTAGATAGAAGTGGTTGCTTGATACTATCCATGAGAGAGTGAGACTATAAAAACTTTGATTTTCACCCATGTGATATAAATAGAAGCATTTTCTTTATTTGATGACTGGCCCTATCTTATTGATTGTCAATGCTAATTCTAGAGACCTCTAAAAGTATCTAGAATTTTTTTTAATATCTTTGGAACATATAGATGACCAGTCCGTGATTAGTGCTGCCATAATATTGCAATATTTATAATTAAGAAGAATATATATTTACGCTTTTTTTTTTTATACCACTTTGTTGAAAATAGTGGCCTAAATACACACAATACTCAATAATGTTTTGGAAAAGAATGATATGGAGGAATACTTGAATAATTATTTTATTCCACTTTTACTATTATTTGACTAGAGTACATGAATATATAGGCCACACGAACATAGGTATAACAATTACATTCACTAACATAACTTTTAGGCTTAACTCTCACTACTCCCACTAACATGATATTTAAAAGGTTTAATTCCCACTAACATAACTATTTAGACTTAACTCTCATGACCCTTGGTTTTACATAACCTTCACAATCACATTAACTCTCATATACTAATTCTCATTAAGATAATTTACTATCCACTAACACGTTAAATGCCAACATACACTATGTAAGACAAATACTTAAAATGATTAATTAAATACTAAAATCAAGTTTATTTTTCAACTCCCCCCTTTAAATTTGATTTTGTAACTTGAAAGTAAGCTTCTTTATAAATCTTGAGAGCTTGATCAAAAGTTCAATAGTTGATCTTCAATTCCACCTCCTTCAATAGTTTCAATCTTCTTGGGCATTTCCGTTGATGTGTAGGGCTTGTGAAACTTCTTCAAATGCTTGAATAATGCCCTCTTATGATCAACATTTATCTTCTTCACATGGGCGCATCATTCGTTTTCTCTCTTCTTGAATTCTTGAAACTTCTTGAACTTCTTATGTGCTTCTTCTTTGAAATCAAAAAATAACTCCATATTCACCCAACCTCTGTCAATTACCAAATTCTCCGAACTATCTTGTAAAAAATAATTTGAAAAATTCTTCTCGCCTTTAGCATCAATCTCATAATTAATTGGAACACTTTTCTTTAAGAGAAATTCATCATTCTCCACAAAATAAGCATTATTTGATGAATATGAAGAAATAATAATTTCATCAAATAAGTTGAATATAACTTCTTTCATTGTAGAATTTGTAACTATACCAGAAAGTATTAACTTACCAACTTGAACTTTTACCTCTTCTTTAGCACTTTCTTCTTCTAAATCTTCTATTTTCACTTTATTATCCTCCACTTTTTCAATCTCTTCTTTAACACCTTTTCTTACCTCTTCCTCATTCACCATTTCAAATTTTCCATCAACTTTTGAATCTCCAAAATCTTCAACTTCATTTGCATGATACACCTCTTCATTCTCCACAACTTTGTCATCAAGACTTTCATAATCATCTTTCATAAACTCATCATCCTCAAAGCATTGTATCCAATACTCTATGGGTAGTGATTCACCTCTATGATTGGAAACGATGGTCTCGAGCATCTTCCAAACACAACTTGGAGTTTTGGACTCTCCAAAATACTCCCAAATTTCTTGATGTTTTGCCTTTTGCAACATTACCAATGCCTTCTCTTCTTTCTTCACATGAATCGTGTTGGATATACCATTCTTTGGCTCTTTTCCAACAACATCCCACAAATCACATGCTTTGAGGTATGAAGTCATGATGATTCTTATTCTCTTGTAATTAGAGAACATCATCTTCTGACTAAGAAAATACATTTTCTCCCCTTCATCATCATCAAGGAGAAACATGTTTTTCTCAAAATGTTGAACATTCTAGGATCAACTTCGTTAGGCCTTCAGAATCGTCTAAGCTCTGAACATGAAACCTGGCTCTGATACCACTTTGTTAGTTTTTTCTCTGATACTACTTTCTAACTTTGTTCTGATACTACTTTGTTGGCTTTTTCTCTGATATCACTTTGTTGAAAATAGTGGCCTAGATACACACAATACTCAATAATGTTTTGGAAGAGAATGATATGGAGGAATACTTGAATAATTATTTTATTCCACTTCTACTATTATTTGACTAGAGTACATGTATATATAGGCCACATGAACATAGGTATAACAATTACATTTAAGTGCACAATTACTCACACTAACATAACTTTTAGGCTTAACTCTCACTACTCCCACTAACATAGCCATTTAGACTTAACTCTCATAACCCTTGGTTTTACATAATCTTCACCATCACACTAACTCTCATATACTAATTCTCATTAAGATAATTTACTACCCACTAACATGCTAAATGCCAACATACACTATGTAAGACAAATACTTAAAATGATTAATTAAATACTAAAATTAAGTTTATTTTTCAACAATTTCAGTTAGGAGTGTACATGGTCTAGTTTGGTATAGTTTTCGGCAAAATGAGAATCGTTCTTAATGATTTTGAGAAATTAAAATCGAAATTGAAGCTGTTAGGACATAAATCTGAATCCCAACAGGTTCCAGGTCCCTCATAGAAAATTTTGTTTTAGTTTTTAAAGCGGGCTCTCTAATTCCCAAATAATATGAGATTTTAAAATATAAAATGAATTGTGATGACAGTCGCGCAATGAATTAGGCGACTGTCTAACAACAGTTGCCCTAGCAAAGCTCAAATTTCTCTAAAGTTCTAGTTCTTGGGTCGAGTGGCCTATAAATAGGCATGTCAACTTTCTATGAAAAGATACTATGCATTTTAAATAAATAATTTTTTTTTTCATATTTTGAAATGTGACAATTCTACACCCATCAATGAATTAGATTTTTCATCTTAAATCAATTCGAATATGGTTTCATAACTTTGATATGAATGAAAATATTTAATTCAATAATATGTTTAACAATCCAAATTTCAATAATCCATTTCGTTAACGAATCATATATAGTTTATATTATTTAATTTGATATGATAATAATTCGATCCGACCAAATATTATATATAATATATAATACGTTATAAATATATATATTACGTATATATATAAACAATGCTCGCTTTAGGCCACATACTTTTTATGATGAGGTGATCCAAAAAAACATTAACAGGTGTTAAAGTTTTTTTTTTAAAAAAAAAAAAAAAAAAAAAAAAAAAAAAAAATTGATGACTACATGGAATAGAAACTGACCATTAATCCATCCCTCTTTCTCTCTCATGCAGCGATATATATTACTTCTATGTTTTAAATCTAAAACCAAACAATGTTTTTCGCTTTAATGAATCAGACTATGTGAGTTGTGAGTTGACAAGTAGTTCATCATTCCACACCGTTGATAGCCTTTGAGTCCATACTCCTTCACATCGATGTTGTCCTTTATGAACAGTGTGTTGGTGGGCTAATGGATCGCTCATGTTCATCTTTGGTGGTGTCGTTTTACGACTCCGGCAATGGGTTCAACTCTTGATCCATGACGCCGAGTTGGAATTTGTAACGATTCAGTGGAGCTCGGTGGCTTTCCCATAGTAGGAAGAGTCGATTGAATAGCCTATAGATACTTCTTGAAGTTTTTATCCCCTGTATTTATTATTATTTTTTTCTTTTAAAACTTAAACACCTGTTGATATTTTATTGAACCACCTCATCATAAGAAAGTTCTTTCTTATGCGGCCTAAGGCAAGCATTGTTCATATATATAATTCTATACGTGATAAAATCTTATGTTTCACGTATAAAATTAATTTTTTTTAGTTATTTAAGTTTTTCTTTTCATTTTTTGAAATTATATCTCGATCGTTATTAATTTTTTCCTTTTATAACAATAAAAAATTTGAGTCAGTGGTATAGCGGTATCAAACCCCTACTTCTCAAAGAGAGGTCAAGAGTTCGACTCTTAATGGAGGCATGTGTTTGAGTATTAACAAGGAAAAAAAAAAGCCTGCTCTGAAACAAAATTTTTTAGAAAAGGGAATTAATTAAAAGAGTAATGCTTGGATCCTACCCTATCAGGACAAGTTTTGTCCTACAACCTGACGTGACCCTATCAAAATTTGACACGTGTCCCACAATAAAAAATTGAAACACATCGAATTAAATTCTCTAACCGGGTAGAATCCAATTAAAAACCAATTTTTTCTCTCACTCTCTCTTCTTGGCTTTCCCTTTTTTTACTTTTTAGACTTAACCTCTTCTCTCCCCTTTAAGCCCAGACAACTCTTCTCTCTCCTTCAAACCCAATACTTTCTCTGTGATGACCTTGTGGGCGGGTGTGCCGTGGGCGGGTGCAAGAGACACTGACAGGCTACCACATTGGCGAGCTACGGGTGCACAGTCCCACATCGCCTGGGTAGAGGAAAGGTGAAGTGCTTATATGTGAGTGTGTCATCTCCAATTGGTATGAGGCCTTTTGGGGTGAAACCCAAGAACAAAACCGTGCGAGCTCAGACCCAAAGTGGACAATATCATACCATGTGGTGGAGCGGGACATTACAAATGGTATCAGAGCCTGACCCAGTCGGAAGTGTGCCGACGGGGACGTCAGGCCTCCAAGGGGGGTAGATTGTGATGACCTTGTGGGCGGGTGCAAGAGACACTGACAGGCTACCACATTGGCGAGCTACGGGTGCACAGTTCCACATCGCCTGGGTAGAGGAAAGGTGAAGTACTTATATGTGAGTGTGTCATCTCCAATTGGTATGAGGCCTTTTGGGGTGAAACCCAAGAACAAAACCGTGCGGGCTCAGGCCCAAAGCGGACAATATCATACCATGTGATGGAGTGGGTCGTTACATTCTCTCTCTACCCATTAGTGTTGGAGTGTTAGGGTTGATATTTCTTCACTCAATTATGAATACAATATATTGTACAAATTAAATGTATAGCTTTAACAAATTCAGAGATAATTTTAAGGCTTATTGTTGAGAGAGATGAAGAGGAAAAGAGAGAATGAAGAGGAAAAGAGGTGGGGGGGAGGGGGTGTGTGGTGAAAATGGATATTTATGAGGTGGGGGGTTTAGAATACAGCGGCGATAGACTTCATTGCTGTTTGTACAGGGCGGTGCAGATGGGGGTGGTGCCGAGGTAG